CCCCAAAACCCCAAAACCCCAAAACCCCAAAACCCCAAAATTCTGTAATTTTATTGAATCAAACTTAAAATGGAGGCAATTGGAAGCGAGGAGCTCCCGGTATTTTTCTCAGACGAGTTTAATACACAAGATTTTCATATAATGGAAGTAGATAGCACAACTTTAGACAAAATATTAGATAGCAAAGCCTTGATTAAAACTAATTTGAATTCTGAAAACCCAAAGAAACAAACTGCAGCTTTAGTGACGGATTTAGACACATTCAAAATTAAATAAACTTGGTGAGAATTTAGTATAATATTTAGAGTCATCTAACTCATACTACCTATCGATGATCCATCATAAAGAAAAGAACATGGAGATCTACTCGTCACAAAATCATGTGTTCATCTGTGAGAAATTTGTTGATACAAAAGCAGTAGAGCTTTTGCTTAAAGATAGCATGATCTATGATTCTCAACTAGAGGCAATAAGCACCAAAGGGGTTACTAAGAACGAAATCCTTGATACTCTACAGATTAGCACAAAGCAATTGGATGAAGTTCTCACTAAACTAAATGCATTTGAGGTAGATGGCAAGTATTACACAGTACAAGAAGACTTCATGCTTGACACTGTAAAATCAATGCTTCTTCTCTTAGCTAATTCAGGAGGGAATGAGAAAGAAACTATAACATTAAATGATATCGTAGATCAACCAGATGCGACTGAGATCCTTACAGCAAATCTTATGACTCCTATTGGAAGAAAACTTCTAGCTCATGTTCTAAAGGAAGCCTACGACTTTGCTGCAGAATCCTTCACAAAGAATATTACTAATATTGCAATCTTGAGTGCGAGGATTCTCGTGAGTGAGTTGAACTCTATTAAACTTTCTGAGTTTATTCAGACATATGAAAACTCCTTAATGGTACTATTATCTTCAGAGTCATTCAAAGGTAAACTTTCTTTTTGATTTATAGAACTTACTGAGAAACATGATTTGTTAAGCAAGCTGAAAAATCATGACATTTCTATACTGGGAGAACATTTGTCTATTGATACTGATACATTCCTGGAAAAGGATTATACTATTACTAAGAAGCTGGATTAAAAAGAGTTTAAGAGAGGAGATATAGAAGTTAAATAATTATCAATAATGTGCACACAAAGTTTAGTTATATTATTCAAAGCATTCATTTTTGATATTTCTTGAATTATTTAACTCAGAATCCATTTTCAATATACCGCCATAATCTTGGGGTTTTGGGGTTTTGGGGTTTTGGGG